GGGGTGGGGGCGGGTGCGGGTGTAGGCATTCTACCTCTCCAACGCCTCACCCATACCTACGCCTGCACCCACACCCACACCCTCAGAAGGAGTGTGGTTATTCTTTTTCTGGACAACCCATTCGCACCCACACTCACGTTTTGGCAAATTTTCGTTCGAATTTTTTTAAAACGATTAAGTATATAGCCTTAAAACCTGGTGAATAGATGTGTACTAAATAGTTGTTTAATATCTATAAGCTTTTTTCGAATTGATTTAGTAGAGCACGTTTTATAGCAAAAAATACATGCAGGTACTGCACTCACACAAAAGATCTCTCTTTCATTCGGTGATGTCAGAAATATTAAGCTACATACGAATACTTAAGTTAGAACAAGATATAGTAAGAAGCAAGTTTGTAGCGAAAACTCAGACTATCTAATCAAAGAAGAAGCGTTTTCAAAAATACAGCGATATGTATGAGCTCTACCAATCGAAATAACATGCGAGAAAACAGTGTATTTTCAAGGCATTTTTTTAACAAAAATACTTTATTTTGGCTGACAGCTACAGTTTTTTCTCAGAACTCTCACAAACAAATAGCGTAGATCAACGCAGCATCTATGAAAATCTACTAAAAAATTTCAAGCGAATGCAATCAGTTATTTTGTATTCGAGAATATGAATGTACAACTTAAATCATCTCTGTTGACTGTTAGTCGGGCAAGCCATATATGAATAAATAAGAAAGTCTAATAAATTGAATATTTATTTTAATTTCACTCTTTTGTTGTAATTATTTGATTTGAAAATATTGTCAAAGTTTCGAATTTATTTTCTTGCATAAAAAAAATTCATTTAGTTGATAAGATAGATGCGGCATGTATTTTTTATTTTTTTTTGAAACAAAAGTCGGTTTTTTTATCTTTGATTTTGAACCAGTTTGAACATCAATCATCATAAATTATGCAAAAGAAAAAAAGAAAACTAAAGTCAAAGATTTAATTGAACGTGTAGTTATTCATGTTTATGTGAGTGTTCTCTTCACACCCACATCCTCTATAATAATAATGATGAGTAAAAATAAAAATGAATTGCTTTTTTCAATAATATATTTCTTTGTTTTTTCTTGCTTTTGAAATTTTTTGTATTGAGGGCACGGATGTAGGGAAGATTCATATACACTCCAACACCAATACTGACATTCACATTCACACCCTTGGACTGCTAGTTGTAGTGTATATTTTTGTTTTCTTTTTGTTCATCGAAAATCAAAGGAAGTAAAATTAAGTATTGCATATAAAACATACATATACTCATTTTCTGTTCTTTGAATAGTTATTAAAGTATTTCTTTTCTAACTGAATTGACAACGGCTGAAATAATCCTCAAAGTCTTTTGGCAAAACAATTTTTGTAAACGGAATTATCTTTGAGTTCGAGCCGGGCTGGACCATGAATAGATGGTCACGAATGATGATTGTGCCTAGTTAATATGATAAAATTAACTTTTTACCTAACCCTCGTCACAGAGATGTTGAAATACATATAATGACGGACAGATAGACGCGATAAACTTTTTTGAACTCTTTCAGACAATATTTGATAGACATCAATATGTAAAGTTAGAAGTTATCCATGCGGATATACTCGGGTTTCATTTAAAAATATTGATATGTATTCTCAATACATGAATACATATTAAAACGATGGAATACAATAACATTTACTTGAATGTCATTTGAAATTCGATATTTTGTCGCACATTAAATAATTCTTGCTGAATTCTCTCGATATTTTCCGTTAATTGTGTGTCTTGTGATGTATTTCTTAGTACCTTTATTGTTATTTTCTCCAATTGATGGCATGTTGTTACGAGACTTGTCCATTCTTTTATATCTAATAATCTATCAACATTGATACTACTGACAATTAAATCAACATATCGAACTTTTCGCATAATTTTTATAAAATCAGTTATTGCCATTAAAAAACATGTTGTATAATATTGTGCACAATTCTTTAGAAATCCCATAGAAGCATGAGTTACATGGAGTAAAAAATATTCAACTGTTTCATTAAGGTTTTTGATCTTTTTGAGAATGATTGATGTATGACGATGAGGACAACGCAGATACCCGCAATGAATTTTGAATCGTTGCATGGGTTGTTCAATATAATTGAAAACTTTACATATACTATGAAAATCAACTTCTTTGTCATAGCGAAGAAAAAGGCCTGCTAAATTAGGAAGACGTATTTTAAATTCATTGAGATGATTTACATGTTGAAGATTGAGAAGCGTAACAACTCTTACATTATGAAGAATAGATGGAGAAGTTAATTCCATTATTGATCGGATTTGATTTCCTTTAAGACGTAAAGAAACAATTTGGTCGCGATTAATATTTTCAATCATAGTCTGCATAAATCTATTAGTAGGTTCAACAATAGGTAATGTTATTTTATATTTCTGTAATAAAGGAAGGATGTCATTAGAAAATATAGTAATAACATCATTTAATGATAAATATTTAACTATCTTCAGAACGACGTCCAAACAGAGACCAGTCTTTCTCATGAAGTCAAATGACTAAAACAAGCTTCTTAATAGACATATGTAGCAAATAAAAAATACTCACAAGATATTGCTCATTCTCATCAAATTCTTCTTTAAAGGTTATCAACGTGTTTAAGAATGCATCTCGATTGAATTCTATGTTCGTTTGCATAAATATATCATCTTCGAGTAATATTTTAAATTCATATGGACATATTGAAAATGAATTATTTTCTCTTGAAAATCTTCGCATAGCACCAATAAGCATCGGACATCCTTCCATTGATAAGTCAATGTCAAAATGACTGGAAAACGTTTCTCTCCAGATGTTGATCAATCTTTATTAAGAGATTAAAAAATTTAATAAAAAAAAAGTTTATTGACATGTCATGAATTGGTTACCCACATCTTTTTATTGGATTCTTCAGTGATATCCCATGGCCAGATAATTTAATTCTCAAGTAAATACTCGACAATAATCTCTGAACCAAATATATTTAAACAAAACATTTGAGTCGACATGCTCATGTTATGATGTATATAAATGAGTAATGGACGACGCTAAAATATAGCAGACTATGTGTTTTGTACAAATATGAAAATAGATAAAAACGAAACTTCTTTAACCACTGCTGTATTGAATGCTGATGCCAATGCTTTTTTGCAACGAACTAATACAAAATGCAGGATATATACCGTAATGATTGACGAACCGTTTGTATAATGATCCAACAACATCTATTTCATGTCGGCATTCAGCTACTACTCGTAATAATGTAATAGTAATCTATTCTACTTCTTCTTTGATTATGAATAAAAAACAACTTACAAGAATCGTTATCGATGCGATTAGCTTCACTATGAGATATATCATTGTTGACTATTTTGGTTTTACTATTCTGTCTTAATTTATATATAAAAAAATGTCTTTTATATTTCATTGGAAAACAATGATAACACGAACTACAGTTCACTTATAATTGTATAAGAGAAATTACTTACCACGGAAATTATCTATTCTATCATTATAAAAATAAGAAATCTTCGAATACAAAGATCTATACTTCAATAGTGATTGTCTAGACAAAATTATGTAACCATCTTCATTTTGCTTATTCTTTTTATATAGAATAGCTGCGGTAAAAACCTACTTTATATTTCTGACATCACTGCATGACACATCAACGTGGTAAGAGACGTCCAGGTAATCAAGAAAACAGAACAAAAAAAACCTACTGAAGGTTTTTTCTTTTCTGACTTTCCAACTTGAATTCAACAAAAATGAAATGTAAAAGTTTTACAAAGGATGAGCATGGACGAAAACAATGAAATAGAACAAAAATTTTTAAAAAAGTAAATTGAAATTTGATCGTTTCTTATACTTCATATAATTTTTTCTGAACTTTTCGTGTTGTTTCTTTCTGTCAATCGATCTTTCTTTGTAACATATCTTCAGTTAAAGGCGTAAATCAATGAATTGACGGGAAGTGTTCAAGATGACTAAGAGATCTAAATATCATTGTAGCCATTAGTGACGGTGGACTCCTCTATCTTCAGTCATCTAAAATATGGTGGCCTACAATACAAGACATTATTTACTACATTTCTTTATTTATATACATTTATCAATTTATCATTTTATTTTCTTTGAAAATCCGACGAATATATCGAATATTTCGCATAGTTTAAATACAATCATTTAATGCCATAAGAAAAACAAGAGGATATGGGTGTGAGTGTGGACAATGAAGCATAGGCTAACACTGATACCCTTATTTCGTCTTAACTTATAGATATCGACTTATTCGAAAAGCAAATAATTGTTAGGCTTACTAATTTTTATTCGAATAGAATGCCATTGAACTTTCATTACAATCATTTGATTTGATTCGTATCATGTATTTAGACAATAGTTTTATAACATCATTTGGTATTCATTGCTATTCAATCATCATCGGAATGTGTAGAATTAGCGACACTACAATTAACTTTAAGAGACATTTGCTCAATGCCTGGGATGTTTCTTGAATATACAACACTTGAATTTAAGCTTCAATCTACTCTAGAGTATTTGTACTATCAAGGATGTCTTGATATAATAAGTGAGTTATTCCCATATTGACGACATTTGCCTGCATACATCTCTAATCGCATTCGCTCTCATCCGATCAGTACTATCAAAGTGGAGTCAATCATGGCTAAGCTTTTCATTGAACACTGATCGATCAATATCTCTTTCAAAGACTATTTTAACATTTGTCGACCGAATATATCTTTGTACATAGTTACAACACATTACAATATTCTCCATGTATTTAATACGGTTCTCAATGTCTATGAAAGTCTCAGCTTCGTACTCAGACTTGCAGTTCCTTTTACAGTGAGAACTGCCTACCAACATGTACTCAAACGAAATAAACGAGTTTCACTCACAAACACAACAACGGACATGTTTATGGTACACTAAATAAGTTTTCTTTTCTAATGTTACTGTTCAAAACAACTTTAACAGATACAGAATAGACAGTGGGTACAGGTGGGAGTCTTCATTTACTCACATCCACATCCATACAACACCACTTAAAACAATTCAATGTGTCTTAGATAATCGCACTTAGCCTTTTTTTTAGAAATTATTTAGTTGTAATAATTTTTACTGAGCAATTTTGTTTTATAATTATGATTTCAATTTATTAACTTTGCAAATATTTTTGTTACCGAGGAACAATAAATTAACTGACCATTCAATATTTTCACTTGGAAGTCAATCTATTTACTGAGCAAATACAAATTTTACTTGGTAAAAGTCAACTGAGCATTTTAATAATTTTACCTAGCAAATAAATTGTTGCCCGAGAAAAATGCTTCATTTTGGTTGGTAACTGCCGTTTTTTTTCATAATTCGATTTGAAAATATTTTCATAGTTTCGAGTTTATTTTCTTGCATAAAAAATGTGCATTTACCTGATAAAATAGATAAAGCATTTATGTTTCACTATTTTTCCGAAAAAAAAGTTAGTCATATATCCTTGGTTTTTAATCAGTTTGGATACAAATCCTCAGTGTGAGTGTGGGTTTGTGTCTTCAGCTGTATCCACATCCACATCCTCATTTTTCGTATTGTTGGATGTCAAATTAAAAAACGCGCTTTTCACTCAGAACCAAAATGCAGTGAATCACCTAGGTGCGAAGCAATAACATCGTTAACAGGTGAACGGTCTCAGAGATCAATTTTATTGGTAACTCATCTCTTCGAACAGTATACATAGCTGTGAAGATTTCGATAATTCTCACCTTCACACATACGACTCGTGAAAAAGACAATAAAAGAATGAAGTAAAATATCGCGTAGCATAAAATTTGTGTTTACTCAAAAGTTAATAGCAATTTGTTCATCCATTATTTTCTATTCGATTGAAGTCGATCACTTTGCATCGGGGTTTGCCAATGCTGCTAAGCATTCTTTTAGCCATAATTTAAATTCTTCGTTGAATATTAACCGCTGTTTTTGTTCTGGTTGAGTCTCTAGTTTTAATTCAAATATTATCAATTCGGTACATATTCCGCGCATTAGTAATGGTAAAATAAGGTAAAACTCATCAATGGGAAAGTCAATATGGAATTGAAAATATAGAAATCATAGTTTTGTAGAAAAAGTTTTCAAGATTGAAATCATATATTCAAGTAACGGTGGGTCAGTATAAAATGTAACCCATAAAAAGTCAATCTGCTTCGCTAATAATTGGAGCATTCGTGGTGATTTGAGAAACTGAAGTAAGTAATTGTAAGGCAAATAAAGTTGGCTGACCATAGACAAGATTGTGAGAAGACAATATCCAAGGATTACTGATGATAGATTGAATTAGTTGGGGAATTAGAAGTGAAATCAAGCGTAGTGATTTTGGATGAATCAGGAATCGATTGCATTACATGAGAACTAATCAAACCAAATAATAAGAAAACCTATTTAATTCACGTTCAAATTCGATGAGAAGAAAAGATTTGTGGAAATCTAATCTTTGAAATCTTCTCTTTAAATGAACGTTTCTGATTCTGTCTAATTTTAACTGCTCGTGTTTTTCAAATTACTTATAAAGCTTCAAAACTAATATAGAATGCTAGTTGAACACATCGGCTATCGCACCTATTTTGTAAACCATTTTTCATGGCAGTTGTTGTCATTTGTGAATGATTATTTATTCGTGTTACATTCGGATAAATACCTAATTTTTCGCTCGTCAATATTTGATTGTTATTCAATGTAATTTTTAATGTGATAATATTATTATCAATATTAATTTCATCATGTTTTACTGTTGTATGCCTTTGTTTTCTTTATAATTCTACAATATCTTTACCACCACGTGAAGATTGTGAATAAGTATAAAATTCTAATAATAGTGGATTCAATAGAAAATTATAGCCCATAATGACACAGCTGTCAAGCCATTGAGTATCAATATGATTGAATGAATAAACAAGTTCTGGTGATGAACTTTGTTGCATAGCAGAATCTGAAGAAAAACAATAGGTTTTGTTATATTTACTAAGTAGTTTGTTACGATTGGTAACCAAGTTACCATTGATTTTTATGTGAATTTAGAATTTTTCCAATTTTAATAGATTTCTAGAAATAAATTAATGCCAGACTGTGGGTTGATGTCGAAAATATCAAATATATTAGATTGGGAAATAATTTCAGAACAAGTTGAAAATCTATCAATGATAAACAATAAAATGACATATGAAGATAATCTAATGATTCTAAATCAGTAAATGCAGAGAAAAGATAATATAATTTTGTAAATGTTATATAGAATTTTCTTTTATGACTACTATCAATTTAAAAACATCCCTATTGAATTAGATAGGATGCCAGACAAGTAATTTTCAGACAGTTGTCATTGACGACAACCAAAAACTAGAACCCCCATTCCAGCAATCTTTCCTTTCGTCATGTTAAACAACTTCTTTATGACTTGCATTGGAAGATTATTTTTCTATGAAATTAGTGCCATCTAGCTCTCACGGTTTAATCTCATGTGTCCACAAATTCATAGTTTTTCTCCTCCCCGCGACATTTGTTGTCTACCTGGTATTTTGAAATGTCTTTCATCGCCAAAAAGTAGATTATCAATTAATTTTGGATCGATTGAAGTTGGATTCTAATCGTGCCACTAGTTTATACTAATTTTCATTCGTTTTACATTTGAACCTACATATTTGAGCAACTCCAAAAAGTCCATTATGTAACAACAATCGATTTCTAAATATTCAGGTGCACTCAACGGTCGAACAGTATCATCGGTAAAATTGAAACTCAGTGGTTCGATTGAATTGATGATTAGATATTTCAATGATGGCAGTGAAAATATAGCAATGGTCATAATGGGCGACCGAATCAATACCTGATAGATGTGATAATAAATGTAATTTTGATAATATTTCATCTAAAGTAGAAATTTTTATTTGATAACTTATGCTTGAGACGTAAATAAAATTCACCGAAACTCTCTGAAGACAGATATTCGACAGTCAGTGCTCTTAGATTCGTGAAAATGCCAATGTCAGTATACTGATGAAATAAAGCCAGACGATCATATGCATCCGATAACTTGAGACTGTAGACCTGTGGTGACAGTAGCCTTTGACTACAACAATAATTGTCAAATCTAACTACCATTTCTGTACATGGCCTATTACATTGAGGCGAGTGTTTAGATTATAAACAGCATCGTATAGGTCACAATCTGATAAGAATTGAAAGATGCAGACCAACAGTTCATCTGGTAATTGTTCTAAGGTAGACATTGATGGCAATGTTTCGACTTATAAATACGGAGTACAGTAAAAGCAATGTGTGGATGTCTAAAAGTCAGTTATTATGATCGGAAAAATGCTGGTAATGAAACAGTAGACTCGAAGGAATCTTTACAGTTTTTGTTATTTTACAAGATTCTGTCCTACTTAAATTTTACTCGTAGACCAATATAGACTCAAATAGCTATTCAATACAGAATCAACACCCACAGTTTATAACCTACGCACTATTGTAAAATAAGACATTTTACCGGAAGTTGAAAATTGGTTATTTTCTTCGGTCATTGTTGATATTGGCTGATCAAGTTTGAGACAAGAGAAAATAGTTGACCAATGATTCTAGACTTTATAATGATAATGATGCTATTGAATCCATTTGAATTTCAGACCTGAAACTCACCTTTACTTTGCATTTCGTCACTTATCAGCAACTGAATGAAATAAGAAATAGAATGGAGCTCAAAGTTATGCATTGAAACGAGAAGGAATCAGTCGCGTAGGAAAACATGAGTCGAGATCAAACTGAAGGTGACGAAACAACAGAAGAAGAGAAAGCATATGAACAAAAAAAAAGTTATTGAAGTCTTCGAATTTCAACAAGAGCTCTAGCTATCTGATGTCAATTATCTGTCTATGCCCAAATCTATGGTCTACAGTAAAAATGAAAAAATAACGGAATGAACGTCTGGAGAAAAGTGCTT